ATATTATATTTTTTCATATATTTTATTTTATTATCTATTTTTAATAATAAATTTTTTCCTTCCTTTAAAAACCAAACACATCTTAACAATTTGTAAACAAATTTTATAATGCTAGTATTATTAATAATAACAATTTAAGTAACTTAATACTAATCATCTCTATTAAAAGAAATAATTTTGAATTCGATTCTTATAATTTAACATGTAAGTAAAATAAGTATGGAATAAAAAAAAATATCTCTTATTATATAACATAAAATAAAAAAATAAATATTATTATGAAAAATAAATAATATTAAGCAACATGCGTAGGGGAAGACTTCAATAATGTTCTTACTTCTTAGAATCTAATAGACCAAAATCTCCTAGCAAAGTCGTGGGAAATGAATTTGCAGGCTGCCCTTCCAATGAATAACACTTGAACCAAACGACAGTACATTTCCGCCTACTTTGCCCAGGCAACCGCATCAATCTCTGCTTGGGCACTCCTGTACAGTTCCAGTCTCTTGGCAAGGGAAGTGCGGCGCTGCATTACTGCTGGATCCTCATCAAGCAGTTTAGCCAACTGCTTTGTCTGCAAATATGATGATTGGATGTGTAATTTTGCAGCATTTATCATGTGTTTTTCACTTTTGAACGCAGAAATAAATGAAAAAAGAGGTTGGAAAGTTGGCCAGGTCCTAACCTCTTTCCTGCCCAACTCGGTGAAGAAGAAATCGAGCAAGCTGCGTTTAGATTCTCGGACTTGACAATAGACAATCGACTTTGGGATAGAATGTCTCAGACTCGCACAAACCATGTTCACATAAGACAGAACTGTGCTTCCTGTTTTGATCCCATGGGAAAGAATGTAGCAAAACAGAACCAGTGAAACAGGGTAGAGTAGAAAACATATAAACAATGCTTTAGTTTCTCTTCCATTTGTCAACCTAGCAATTTGCAGAACATCGTAAGAATCTGGAAAAACATGGTGAAAACCTTTACCCTTCCTCGTTTAAAGTTTTATGAAGAAGGCAGAGAAAGGAGAATATCATCCGAACAAGCGCTAAGTGCCTCTAATTATGTGTTAAAAGTACCTAAAGATGTTTCCACTTACCAACCCGTCGAAGATATGAATCATGATATCTATCAAAAATTGAATGTGTAGGATTTCCACCCTTGTCAACATCTTGAGGAAGCTTCCTGAAGAATTCAACAGTCAGGTAGCAGTACTCCATCTCAACTAGCTGTAGGGTTGCTCTCTTGCTTTCATCCCTCATTCTTTCTAATGATTCAATAGCTGCATTTCCAAGTTCTACTCTCAAAGTTGGATACTGCTTTAGTTCCTATATGCCCAGAAAAAAAAAAAAATCTTTTCAAAGGAAAGGATAAAAACATAATTTTAGATAAGTGATTCAGTATAACGGAGCAATGATTGCAATTAAGAATACTTGTTATCCAATAGTTTGAGGAAAAATACTGTCTCCCCACTCCATCAAAGTTACTAACTACTACCATGACAAATATTAGCAGCTAACCAAGCAAACATCACAGGGAGCGGAAAAAAATTAGCTCATCAGAAAACCTAAACGTTTTTATCTGCCAAAAGCTATAGGTTGACATGAATATTATTCGCAAAATATAATAGATATAATAAAAAACATTGCCAGGGACTTGCCATTGTCTCGCCCATAGCCTTATGTATGAGATCCTTTAATATAGCATGAACCTGAATCAAATTAATGAAAGGTATCAATCAAACTGTATCCTTAAAAAGTTTTAGTAACCAATGATCAAAATAAGTTGACTCCAAATACCGCATCAACAGCAGCCTCGGCAGGACCTTTCACGGTTACTAAGGAAGATTCAATCAAACGCCGATATCCTTGTTCAGGAGCAATCAAATGGGGCTGGTATCCATCAGCTTCAGTAATTAGCTTGCGTACATTATCCATTGAAAGTTGCTTATCAAAATGCAATCTCTTCAAAGAAGCAGGAAGTTGATTATCAAATACACCATAGATTTTATCACCACCAGAGCGTCTGCCAATATTAATTACGACCAAAAGCAGTTCAAACTGGAAATTTGTGAGAGGTGAAAAAATGGCTGCTACCTGCTTTCTATATAGAAATAAAAACACTAAATGAAAAACATACGTGCCATCAAGATGTTCTTTGAAATTTTGATCAAAAACTCGACAGATTTCCATGATCATATACAATTTCCCCTGCAAAAAGAAAAGAACCCCATTTAAAAATGATATGTTGTATAGAACTGGAAATTATTATAAAACTCAATACAATATTAAAAGTTAACTTCTTACTCCAGCATCAGCAGCTATAGGTTTCCCAAGACGGCTCAATTCTGTCTCTAGTTCAATGATTGTTTTGCTAATAAGTGACTGAAGGCCAGGGATCCGAGACTTGATAACAGTTTCCAGATGCTAAAAATGCAACCAATTTTCAATGTTATGTACAACATTACTAACTATAACTAGTTTCCATTTCAAAAAGCTTGAAAAAGCTCTACAAACCAATTTTGAGTGGACTGTAACACTCTATAAACATTACTTAGAAATGCTTTAAGGTGAAACTCTCTGCATACCTTAGAAAGCACCTTTCCCAAATACTCTGAACCCATCCTGCTAGCAAGATGCCTGTATCCTGGGCTGTTTTGAAAATATTCCCGCTCTCTTTGCCGTGCAGCAATCATGTCCACACTCTTGTTAATGTCAGCTTGAGACCGATTTACAACACCAATCCATGGGTACTGCAACTTATATGCTTTTCCTTCCAAAATCTAAAGTTTCATATTATCAGTTAAAAGCATGAATCTCAGCATATTAGATTAACCTTTAATGACCACTAATCCAATTGCATTATTGCATTTACTGACATGTGAATAGCAAATACTATATTATTTTAAAAGCCATCTCTTCATGCAAACATCATATTTAACCAATGATCTAAGGACATAAATTCCAACATACAGAATTCTACTAATACTAGGCAAACTTAAAGCACTAGAGAGTTTAGTAAATAGCTTTGAAGTGTCTCACTATATATATGCACAAATACACAAACAAAAATAGAATTACCATTTTTTAATTGTATGATTTGAAAGTTAACTTACATCGACAGCATCAGTACCCTTATCCATTAGATCAATCTTTGTCAAAACTCCAAAAGTCCTGTCTCCTGAAATTTAATAACTGGTCAAGGACTCAAGGTGAACATGAGTTTTAGGAAATACAACTGACAGCAATAAAATTCATTCTTGTCAAATGGGAAAAATTTAATTAAGGAGTCGGGCCAAAAAGCAACTAAGCAAGTAAAGAAAGGCTTAAGCCAGAGAAAGCCTTCGAAGCTTGGAAAGCAGGATTTCACCTTTTTAGCCAAAATTGCTCACAAATAAACTGATCAGAGAAAGAGGTTTACTAAAACCATACCTTTAGGGTCAACTTCACGAGATATCTTTATTGCATCAGATGTGGCGAGATCTTGATTAGCAGGAGAAATTGCAAGTATAATGCAGTTGGGCTGCCAAAGATTTTGCATGAAAAGGAACATTAATCTAGGCTCATCTAGGCTTCTATATAGAAAGCAAAATGCTAAAGAATGCATATAATTTCGTGAATTATGTAGTGTGACATGCCTTGTCCTTGATGAACTGTATAAGTGCTCAGGTAATGAATAATTACGAGAAAAGTTTGGCCCAGAGTTTATGTAATTCTTATCAATCAGCACCACTTTTAAATATGATATTTAGTATACCAAGCTAATCTTACACAAGAATCTCTGAGATATTCACCTTCTCTATATAGGAGCGAACCATATTCTCAATGTCCAGCACAATGCTTTCAGGTTGACCATCTACAGTACATCAATTAGCACACGTCTCATCTTTAGGTCAAAGGAAATGAAAGGGTCAGAATTGCATTAACACAGGTATAGGCGTTGAGAAGCTCACCAACAGCTACTTTCGTAAGTCCAGGGAGATCAATTAATGTCAAGTTCACCACTGCAAACATGAAAAACTATAAGAAATATTACTTACCATATTTGCTTGACTTAAAGGTAAATTTGAACTCATCCATTGCATTTCAATATAGATACATAATAGTTCACCATATAAATTGATCACCAGTTGCCCCAATTCCTATTTAGTTTAAAATCAGCCATTCAAATTTAATCTCAGATTTTACTATGTCTATGTCCATGACAAAGGCATACGCAAATTAACCAGCATCATCTCACCATTAGGAGAAAAGATGCTGAGATGGATTGGAACTGTAGAGATCGCCTTGGATCTGCCAGTCTCTCGGTCAGTCTCATCAGAAATCTCCTGCCTCACTGCAGCTGCATAAAATATACAAAGGAGATTAAAACCAAATACGAACAAGGATACCAATGCCAGAGATAGATAAGCAAACTAAACAATGCAGGCAGAACAAGACAGGATCTACAATGGTCATATTAACCAAAGAATGATTAAGATAAGACCACAAGGTTAAAAAAGGCACTAACAAAACACAACACTTATATACCAAAATCTGTGAACTTCTTTTTTGGGAGGTGCATAAACTCTGCATATTCTCTTCCATCATCAATCTTGTGAAGTTGTAACACAAGAGGCCTTCGTGTAACAATTCCTGCACCAAACTTTTCTCATTCCATTCAAGCATCAAACAAAGGACATACATATATGAGAAAAAAAAAAGAAAAATAAATTCTAAGAATCAACAATAAAAATCACCTGCTCCACGAGGTAAAAAGTCTTTCCCAACAATGCTCTCAAGAACCGAAGATTTTCCAGAACTCTATACAAATCATTAACTAAATATAAATATTAAATCACAAATCTCTCCAAAAACTAAAAAAATACTGCATATTAATATAAATTGATCCATAAATCATTCAAATGGAAATGCAGGAGTAATCACTGGATATTTACAAAAGAAAAAGGATAAAGAAGAAGCAGGAAAGGCGTACTTGACCACCGACGACGGCGATGGCTGGCAAGGAATCCCAGAGAGTTGGCAACGCGCTCTCTTCACCGTGATCGCCGAGCGCCGTACAAGCTCTCTGTATCTTGTTGACCAATGTTATCAGGTTATCCATGTTCGATTCCGATTTCGGATGCCGGCGGTGGACGGAATCTACTTTGCTTGTTTGGTTTGGAAATGGCGGAGAAAGAGAAAGAGGAGTGGAGAGAGGGAGGGAAGGGGAGGGAGAGCGTTTCCAAAGTGGAAAATTTGATTGGCGATCAACCCGGGAAAAACGAAAAGTCAGTTAGACACGTGGCAACTTCCAAACCGACAGCCCAGCCCTAATTCTGACCCAACCCAAGGACAAAACCGGAGAATTGATTGTCCAGCCCATGAAGAAGATGCTTGCCCAACCCAGTCCACCCTAGGTTAAAATGCCAATTTCGTCCTTCAACTTTCAGATTTATATCAAAATTATCTCTCAACTTTATAAAGTGCTAAAATTATTCCTAAACTTAATTTCTACTACCAAAATAATTTTCAAACTTTAAAGATAATACTATTTTAGTCTTAAAATTTTTTTTTTTTTAAAAGTACTATCTTAGTCATTGAACCTTGATTACCAATATTTATTTATTTTTTAATTTTAATTATATATCAATTTAATATATAAATAAATATATATTATGATGGTAAAATATGATTGTTTGATTTTATATATCATTAGTATTTAAAAAAAAAAGGTTTGTAATAAAATAATGACTTATGTGATATTTTTGTTAATAGAAGGACTTTTTATATTAAAAATTAAATTTAAGGAAAATTTAATATTTTATAAAATTAAGAGACAAATTTAAAGCAAATTTAAAAATTTTCCAAGAAACAGAGCATATTCCTTACCCCCTATACCAAAATATGCGCCGTGGTGGCATATTTGTTATAGTGATCAAAGCAAGGGTTCTTTATACACCACAAAATATTATTATCTCATAAATAAAGACATTTCAGTGGAAGAGCCTTTTCTTCACTTTTGCACTGTCCTCTGGACTCCGATTCTCCAATACCTCTCTGTTTTTCTCTGAAATGCAGGCTGAAACTGGAGCAGATAGGAAGAAACCTCTCTCATGAACGCCGTTACGATCAACCCGACGTTTAATACTTTTTATTTCAGTCGCCAGAACTCCAAGTTTAGACCTTTGTCATCGTCCTCCGGCAAATTCAAGACTTCCTCTGTTTCTTTCTGCTTGAAAGATCCGTCGAATTCCATAAATCCAAACTGGAAATGCAGTAATCATGGTTTTGGTGTCAACCCTTTCTTGGTTTTGGTTTCAATCGTGCAAAGTATCAAAGGGTTGGCGTCTTCGCGTGGCTGGAAACCGGTCTCACGTTTGGAGGGACGCAGTTTTAAACCGGAGGAGGTTTGGTTGGGAAATGGGGGTTTTTTGCAGAATGGTGGGATTGGGGTTGCTTTATTGAGTGTAACGGCGAGTGCGAAGGTTCGAATTAGTCCATTTGTAGCTACATTGGCAGCTAACCCCACGTTTGTTTCGGGTTTGCTGGCATGGTTCATGGCGCAATCGATAAAGATTTTTTTGAATTTCTTTGTGGAGAGGAAGTGGGATTTTAGGATACTGTTTGCATCTGGTGGCATGCCCTCTTCCCACTCGGCTTTGTGCACTGCTTTGACAACATCCGTAGCAATTTGCCACGGGGTAGCTGATTCTCTCTTCCCCGTTTGTTTGGGGTTTAGTTTGATTGTTATGTATGATGCAATCGGCGTTAGGAGGCATGCTGGGATGCAAGCGGAGGTAATTAGTGATATTATTTGGCTTTTTTTTGTTTTACACCTTCAAAAAGTTGAGTTCTAGCTTCATTTTTTAAATCTGGAGTGTAGATACTTTACTTTTATTGTGTTTTGGTGCTGCTACATTGCTTTACCTTTTACTTGTGTAATGGTTTTGGTATTTTAATCTCCTGTCTCATAACAGCAGTACTTTTTCAAACAGTTAGATGTGAGAAAGTTCTTGTTATTGTTGTTAGTGTTGCCATATTTTTTCTTTTTCTCGAGTATAACCTTGGTTTTTTTTTTTTTTTT